ACTTGTAATCTTGAATTTTAAGTAATACGCATCAATAAGCAGTATTTCATGCTTAAAAATGGTTTTTAAGAGTTTTTGTCAAATACTTTAAAATATATTATAAATATATAAATTTACTAAAATATAATATTTAAATATGACAAAATTACTGAAAATGGAACATGTCTTATTTGACATTTGGTCAAAAAGTTGATTATCGTCAATCCTAAAGGGTCCGATATGAAACACGTCTGTAAGGATACCAATGTCAGGGTTTTTTCTGGGCTCATTTAGTGGCTATGGCCAGCCGGGGTTGGGGGTAAAAGCGAGAAATGTATTGTATTTGGGCAAAATCGCCCCTCCTTAGAAGTGTGTATCAGGCAACGCTCGGGTGGACAACCAAAAATCCGATCGAATTTCGAATATGAAACCCAAACCCTTCATTTTGGGGTTCGGAATTCGAATTGCTTCGAGTTCGGGTTGGTCAGGTTTCGACTGGGATCGTCAGGTTCAGATTCTTTTACCTTCACAACATTTTGTTGACAATATTTTGTTGTGAAGTTTCAAATGTAAAAAACTTGTCTCACGTGAATTCAACTCCATATATATATATGTGTGTGTGTGTGTATATATATATCGGTTTGCGGATGGGTTAGGTAGCCAAAAATATTTCTCAAAAACCAGTTTTGCGCAAACACCTCATTTTCGGTTCATATTCAGTTTAGGTGTTCATAACACTCGGGTTTTGCACACCCCTACAACGTTTTTGCCAATTGAACCACATGTCAGAGGCTATTTGACATAACATCATGATTAAACAAAGTACATATCACTTCGAAGTTTAATACATGAACATCATATTCTATTTCTCCTCGTTGCTTTCGCCCTTAACATATCATGAGATGCTTTATTATGAATAGTTTTACGTAAAATGAGTTAATCGTATTTGTCGTAAATGTACACCTCGGTATCCTTGCGATACATGTACTGTATTTTTGGGTATCATAGGGGTGCTTGGGATTGCTTATTTGAAACAACTTATGTTTTCTACAAAAGCATTTATCAACTTATTATAAGTTAGAAGTCTTTAACTTCTTTGAAAACTTCTTATTACCGGTTTGAGACAAGTATAAGTTGTTTATCCAAACACGCAAAAGTGTTTATTACAGATACCGCATCGGAATAAGTCAATAAGTTGTTTTTATAAGCAATCCCAAACACCCCCTTAGTGGGTCCTCACTTGACAGAACTGGTGTATCTGCATGTAACACCTCACACGTATCAAAACATTTTAATACATAAACTTTTCACTTAACGCACTAAAACATCCAGTTTGCTTGAAATCATTTTAAACATGTATCATGCATAAATTAGCGTTGAATAATATTGTATCATCCAGTATTATATGCATCCCAACTTCGAAAGTCACATGAATCGAGTATTTGATTTGCATTCATATATTTGCAAACTGATTGAGTGTTGCATACATAAGGTATACATACTATGTGACTACTTGTACTGATAGTCGACTGCTAATGGTACATACTTTATTGATATAATACTGAAATGATCAAATCAAACTAAATAAAAGTCAAACGTGACTCATAAGCAGTCTGTAAAGTTGCTTTCATGCTCGCATACATCTTGGATGATCACCACAGTATCATATGTGACCTTTAAGCTTACGTCGTTAATTGCACACCACTGTCCTAGCAAAATCCATACTCGCTGGTAGTGAACATCTTTCACGAGCGTTTTTATGATAACTTTAAAGTCACATAGAGCTTGCAAACAGTGAACATAAAGCGTTTTTCGTGTACAAAGAACTATATTTTTACACGAACTCATTTTCAGGTCGAGTTTGTTCATTATTTTTGCATTATGATGCTACTGACAGGCAATACCAACTTATAGCATACTTAACGTTCAATTAACACGACATATCACTGCTACAAAAGGTTAAATAGAACCCAGTTAGAATAACAATTGGTACTCAACACGCCAACCATGTAGCACTCGACATAAGTTGATTACAATCACCAATAGAGTCCAACTCCCAAACCTTGTCTAATAACCAATGTTAATTACATGGTTTATTAGAAGAAACATGGTACCATTAAACAACAAACAAACAAACGAGCTGAGACCTGTTTATAAAATTTAATCTTGTATGTCACAAATTAACGTACCCAGTTCAACTAAGGTGCTGTTTACCAAACACTTACTCGGGTAAGTGTTTACCAAGTCACTTTACTTTAGCGCATGAATATAGCAATGACTAAGGGTGTGTTTACTTAGGGCTTAATAAGGCTTAATGGGTAAATTGGTTTATTCGCGCAGACATTTTAGGGTGTTTACTTCGGGCTTAATCGCCCAAACATGGGCTTATTTGCGCAGATGGCTACCCTCGGTTGTCCACATTAAGCCATAAAATAGACATTCCTACCCTTCAACAATCAACGATATCAGCACGCTATCTTCTCAAGAATCGACGCTATCTCCTCAAGAATCGACGCTTTCTCCTCAATAATCTCCTCAATAATCGACGCTATCTTCTGCAATAACCCTAATCGGCTGATCGATTATTTGTGTCTCTTCTCCAAAGGTAACTACTTCTCCTCTTTATCTATAGATTATTTGCTTTTAGAAAAACCCTAGCTGCTCGATTGTTGCTATATTGCTGCTGATTTGCTTTTAGAAAAACCCTAGCTGGTCTATGTATGTGGTTTGTTGCTGCTGATTTGCTTTTAAAAAACCCATAGCTGGTCTATGTATGTGGTTTGTTGCTGCTAATTTGCTTTTAGAAAACCCATAGCTGGTCTATGTATGTGGTTTGTTGCTGCTGATTTGCTCTATTGCTGCTGTTTCTCCACTGTTTATTACAGCCTCCTCCTACACAACTGTTGTTCTCTCTGTTTTTGAACTAGACCAGAGTATGTGCTCTCTGTTTTTGAACTGTAACACTGTTAATTACAGCCAAAACAGATTATCTAAACAGATTATCTGTTACTTCAAAGCCAAAGTGCCTTCAATGCTGTTTTTGAACGAGGAGACTTCACCAAAACAGATTATCTAATTTTTAAAACAGATGATAATCTATTTTTTAACTCAAACAGTTGGTTCAATTTGGGTTTAGTTATTTGTATTAGAATTTTGTCATGTCTTTTCCTTGTTTAATAGCTCGAATCTTCGTCATAGGTATGGAACAAACAGGTGAAACACAACAACAAAAAAGGGTTAGAGTTAGTTGGAAGGATCCCAATGTTGTCAAAACTTTCTTAGAAAGTTGTATTCTAGCGGTTGGGTTAAATGGAAACGAGGGTGCTAGCTTGAAGGCACTTTCGTGGAAGAAAGTTGTCTATACGTTGAAAAGCACACATAACTTTGTTGTGGATCGAAAACAAATGCGGAACCATTTCGATTACCTGAAAGAAAAATATGGTGCTTGGTTGAAGTTAAAAAACAAAACCGGCAATGTTTATGATCCTTCAACTAACACTTTTAACTTGACCCCCGAGGAATGGGAGTTGGAGATATAGGTCGTTTTCTCACTTTAGATCTTTTTTATTTCGATTTTTTTTAATTTTGTTTGTATATTTATAAATGTTTATTTAACACAGACCAATAGGTATGTTGAATCATTAAGGACTACAAGTCTTCCATATCCCGACTTGTGTGCACGACTATTTGAGGGTGGTATGTCCACGAGTATTGGAGGCTATGGATCGTCATCAAAAGACCCGTTGCCAACTACCGAGCCTTTTGTTGTCATTGAGGAAGAGATCAATGTCTCAAGTGATCAAGCTCCCGTGTCTTCAACACCTTGTTCATCCCGTGCTCCGGTTGAGAAACAAAAGCATAAAAAGACTACGAAAGCCAATTCGGAGCTTGATGAAAAACTTATCAAGTTTTTAGATACTATGGCATCGAAATATGGGAACTCTGCGCATGTTAGTTATGAGTCATGCCTACAAAAATTGAACGAGCTTGGGTGGGCAAAAGATGATCCCTTGTACCGTATTGTCTTTTCTCTTCTTACGATCAACCATAATAGAGAAGCTTGGATGACAATACCGTCCGAAATTGCCAAAGAATGGGTGAGAACAGTTGGGGCCAAAACAAGGATATCAGTACAGATTGGTGCTACGTTTTTAAAACTTTTGTGAAGTAGAACATTTTTAGAACTTTTATGTTATTAACTTGTGAGGTTTTTTGGATGACAATTTGGTGCCACGTTTTTTTTGGACATATAATGTTTTTTGTTACAATTAATTATATGTATGTGGCTATGGATTTATAATATGTATATGGCTTGGATTTATGATAAGCGTTGGTTATTTATGTTTATTTTATGCATTATTTTTTGGATTTATGATGTTTTTTTTGGATTTACAATATGCCAATTTATTTCAATAGATATGTTGACTTTTGAGGAAGAAATGAAGATCATAATCCTAATATATATATATATATATATATATATATATATATAGAGAGAGAGAGAGAGAGAGAGTATATTTCTTTTACAACCTTGTGTATTTGTACAACCCTTGCAACCCAATTAATTGAGATATTTATAGAAATAATGAGAGTTCATTTATTATGATTTGAATATTTATGGAATATGAATAGAGTTCATTAATTATGATTAATAMTTTATATTAKGAAACAATCAAAACTTCTATGAAATCACATATTMATCAAATGAAATGGACGGTTGAGATYGDGTTGTATTGGTTGCACAAATGTCAAGGGTTGTATAATAACCAACCTATATATATATATATATATATATATATATATATATATATGTAAGACGATGGAGAAATGCTTCAGAAAGAATGCCTGATAATACATCGGCACTGAGCGGATATGCGTACATCCAAGAGCTATTAACCGGACCTAGTACGCAATGTCAAGAGTTGATGCACCTTTCACGTGAAGCATATATATTGTTATGTAATCATTTTAGACAAAGAAATTGGGTGAAAGACGGTAGACATGTTAGTGTCGAAGAGAAAATGGCAATGTTTTTGACGATGATCGGCCATAACGAGCGTTACAGAGTGATTAAACGTAGATTTCAACGCTCCACAAGAACTGTTCATATTTGTTTCCATGAAGTTTTACTGGGTATGATGGAATTCGCAAGAGAAATAGTGGTGCCAACAACTTCTGATACAACTTTGAATACGTCAAGTCATCAAAGACGTTTGAGAGAAATATTTCCGGTAATATTTATTATTGACGGTTTAAAGTTGTATATAAATACATACACATATACATGTATTTAATCTTTTTTCTGTTAATGAAGGGTGCAATAGGTGCTCTAGACGGTACCCTTGTACATGCAATTGTGCCAGCTAGTTATCAAACTGCTTACAGGGGAAGAGGAGGCGGTCGATGCTATCAAAATGTTTTAGGAATTTGTGATTTCAACATGATATTCACTTTTGTTTGGACTGGATGGGAAGGTATAGCGCATGATTCTATAATACTTAGGGAAGTTGCTTTTAACCCAAGATCCGGTTTTCCCTTTCCACCACAAGGTATAAACCATTCTCAATTTGTAATTTGTTTTTTTTATTTGTATATTATACGATTGATGTGGGTGGTTTTTCAGATAAATATTATCTTTGTGATGTTGCGTACGCCAATGCTCGTGGATTTTTGGCTCCATATCGTAACACAAGGTATTGGTTGGCAGATTTTCGACGTCGACGCACTTTGACTAAAGAAGAAAGGTTTAATCATGCACAGGCCCAACTCAGAAATGTTATTGAACGCGCTTACGATGTCTTGAAAGCGAGATTTTCGATCTTAAAGCAGATGGCTCCCTTTCCATTTACAACACAAAGAAATGTGGTAATTGCTTGCTTTGCGATACATAATTTCATCAGAAAATATAATATTTAAGACCAGTTGTTTATAGAGTGCAATAAGAATAATATATTTAACAACGAAGAAGAAGTCGAAGGAAATGGAGAAGAAGAACTGGACATTTCCCAGTGGGGTGCTAATAGCACTCAATATATAGTTACTTTGAGAGATGGAATTGCAAATAGTTTGGGCAATAATGTTTGAACTTGGATTTTTAAGTATTTTATGAATTTATGTTTTAATTTTGGATGATATAAATGAATTTATAAATTTATGTTTTGATATTTAAATATTTTATTTTTCAGAAATATCATTTGCCTTAAAAAATGAACAACGGTTTACTAAACAACCCATAGTTAATCCTCAGGGGTAAATTGGTTATTTCTGTTATTCAGATAGAAAAGTAAACAGCAACATAAATTTATCCAGACAGCCAAATTTATCCAGACAGACAAATTTATCCATACAGAACTTAATAGAAAATTTGGTAAACAGCCCCTAAGAATCTTATCTGGTAAGACCAAAGGCAAGAATTGAGAGTCTTACCCGGTAAATGAGGACGATGACTCTTACCATGGTTAGCGCTTACCGGGATAAATTGTTACATAAGATGCGTTTTATTGAACAAAATGTTGTTCGGTAAATAAACGATGATGTTGAATTTTACTGGTAAGTGCTTACCGGGTAAGTGTTTTACATAAACAGCTCATAAGACACAAAGTACACTTAACATTTACCGTGCCCTGTTGGCTTAACGACAATTATGTAAACAAATCCAGGTAAGAAAAATTAATATTGATTATCATCCAACTATGTATCGACAACCATGTTGACTTCAACCACCAAATTACAATACTGATAGCACCCGAGCAATATCGTTTCACAAAAAACATGCACCTGTTTCACTTTTAACCCTTGAACTTCTCTAGTTTCATTTGGATCAAGAATCTTACGGGTGTAAGAGCGAGACAAGAACCAAGAGTCTTACCCGGTAAGTGAGCGCGACGACTCTTACCACTGTACGCGTTTACCGGGTAAATTATTGCATGCGATACCGTTTTGGTGGACTCAAATCATATCCGGTAAGTAAATAACAGTGTTAAATTTTACCGGTAAACGCTTACCGGATAAGTGTTTGGTAAATGGCCCCATAATAACCTTAATAGGACTCATAACTTACTCACCCATATATGTATATATGACTGTTTGGTAATAACAACTTAATAATATCGAAAGTGACTTATTCATTAAGCTTTTAAGAAAAAGCTTTATGTAGAAAATCAATTTTTTTCCAGACACATTCATTCCAATTAAAAAACACACTCATTCCACCTATGAAAAACCCTCTAAACCAAAAATCTTTCTATTTTATACATACAATTTTATCCATACATGACTTAATGTAAAACCAACTTTTCTCAAACAACTATTTTAAATTATATTCTAAAATAGAGAAGAAAAAACCGTTCTTCCATCAAATATTATGCTTTTATCTGAATACTTGGGTTCAAATACCCATGGATTCGCTGTTTGCTTACCAACTTCATATAATTCAGAAAAAACCAGTTTTCTCAAAACTTCTTGTTCATGTCTCTAATCAAAAGGCTAATATTTAGTTCTTATGTCCCAAAATAAGTGTCCACAATTGAAATGACGCATTGTTTTTGACATGCATAATTGTTACATTCTTTTGCTAACCAAGTTACATGTTTGCCCTTATTTAATCTATCTCTCATTATAACTCTTAAATTTTTGTGCATTAAATAAGGGTAAATTTGAGAATTTGATTATTTACTTTTGGAAGTGGACACTTATTTTGAGACAAATATAAATAGAAATATGAACACTTATTTTAAAACGGATAAAG